CTATGCTGAGCCACAGGTTGCTTTCAGGTTCAAAATTTCTAAGAGAGCAGTACACAAGTATAAGGTGACGCAAGAGACACTGGGAACCACCAGAAACCAGCCAGGTAAGGGGAGGAAGCGACTTTCTAATGCCAGAGATGACCGTTAACTTATCGACTTTATTCTCTCCTGAATCGTAGGATGACATAAATAACCTTCAAAAGGAGTTGGATTCATTAGGTGCAGGTGTGAAGTGCACTGCTAGGACAGTGTGTATCAGGCTCCTAGATGCTGAACTGAAGTCCCGTAAAGCAAGGAAGAAGCCCTTCATTATCATGAACGCGTGTGTGTATATAAAACATGCTATGCAGAATTTCATTCCATAAATGAAATTACCTCAGTACTGCTGCCTATCCTTTTCGTGTATTTGCATATCAGATCATTTAATTTTTTTCCTCATTATCTTACTTTGCTTTCCTTTACAGTATTTTACATTTTGTTCACTTGTACTGTGGAAATGGTTATTTTGATGAGGCAGCATGGAACACGGAATAAGGACTTCCTTGCTCATATTCACATTCATTTAGCTTGTGATTTTATACGTATGTGTACAGGAAATGAACGCCAGGGGGCAGTCCTGCTCTTCCAAATCATCTGTGTCCTCCGGCAAGTATTGCACGTTCAGTCGTGCTTATTTTATCTTCACCTTGGGACTCGATTGATTTTTGTGCTGTTTTTTTGTCTTCTTTTAGGAAAATCCAAACAATTATGGGTCAGAAGAATGATCCAGTAAGTTTATAAAATATTTAGATTGTTAATAAGGCACAGTTAGAAACGTAATGAAATCAAGAGGCTTCTACAGCAAGTTTAACATACATGTGGGAATGCAGCAGGAACAAGACACAGAGATCGAGGGAAAGCAGACGAGGTGACACAAAAGGACGCATCTTCCTCCTCCGTAGCAGTAGAGCTTTACTGTCATCTTAACCATATACATTAAAGCACACAGGGAGATGAAATAACGTCCTCCAGGGACCTAAGGTGCAACGTACAACGCAACAGGACAACAGCAGATATCGACAGTGAGGATAATTGGCGGGGGGAGGGGGGTATATATAATACCTGTACATATATCTCCAAATAGATGATAATGGTTACTCCCCACCACTTCCATCTCTTTTTTATAAGTGGTTTAATTTTAGTTTGACCACGGTATGTCGCTGTTTTCACGTTTATACATATATATACATATATATACACACACACACACCCCTACGTTATGCTGATCGTATGTTTCCATAAGTGACTCTAGGCTTTTCTCCTAGGGGGTGCAAGGTAAGAGTCCCCAACTACTCATTCTTCGAGATTAATAAATGAAACATGTAAAAGCATAAAACATCGTTGGGTGAGTTTGGTGTGGAAGAACTTGAATGGCCCGCACAGAGCCCTGACCTCAACCCCACCTTGTTGAGAGGTTCACGTACCTCGGCAGCGACATTCATGTCTCTGGTG